TGGAGAAAAGGAAACTCACAATGTGCTCTCTATACATATTTGTATTGGATGTACAATGCAGCTTGGTGCTGGGAAGGCAGCATGGTTACAAAAGCGTGTGTAGAAGGCTGGTTGTGGTGAAAGGGAGATGCTCCAGAGGAGGACCAGCTTGTGGAGTGCAAGCCATGCTTCGCCCGGCAGGGCGGACCACCAGGCAGGCAGGGGAGGTGTTGCTGGCTGGTTGTTGAAGGTAGAAAAGAACCAGGTCACCACGGGGTCCCGGAGTCTTAAATAGGCCCGGGGGTTAGAGGCGTGGCTTAGTAGTTGACCCCGGCTCCGTGTAATAGGCTGGTGACCCTTGACCCGCGAGCACACTGGGGGTGGTGGGATTAGGCTACTCAGCGACAAAAGAAGCGTTTGTAGGGAGAAATCCACTACAATCTACTTCTAGAAATGTCGATAATCTACTTTCTTTTGATGCATCATAGAAAATGGAAAAAATTTCCATTTTCTTCTGTGCATCCGTCATAGAAAATGGAAATTTTTTCATAGAATATAGTCAATTAATCAAAAAGGGTTGTAGGGTTTGAGATGTTGGTTCACACTCAGGATGGAATGGAGAAACTCACAATGTGCTCTCTATATACATGTTGTATTGGATGTACAATGCAGCTTGGTGCTGGGAAGGCAGCATGGTTACAAGCGTGTAGAGAAGGCTGGTTGGTGAGGGCGGCTCAGAAGAAGGACCTTCGTGGAGTGCGCCATGTGCTCACCAGCGGGAGAGGACGCCCAAGCTTGAGGAGGAGGAGCGAGGGCGCCAGGCAGCGGGAGGAGGAGGAGGTGTTGCTGGCTGGGCTGTAGGTAGAAAGGAGAGAGATCACCACGAGGTCAGGTCTTAAATAGCGAGGGGTAAGGCGTGGCTTAGCAGTTGACCCGGCTCGTGGTAATAATAAGCGGCTGGTTGACCTCGACCCGCGAGGCATACACTGGGGGTGTAGTGGGGAATTCGGCTAGGCAGCGACAAGCAGCATTTGTAGGGAGGAATTCCACTACAAGGGTAATACAACCAAAATGGAATTTTGGAAATTTTTAATCATACATACTGTATTTGGAAATGTTAACAGCAGCTCCCAAGTAAATTATGTACTTCTTGTAAAGGCAGAAAAAAGTTTTCTACTTTTCTGAAAAGTAGAAAGGATTTTTCTACTATAATGAACACAAGTAAGATCAACTATGGCGTTAAATGAAATCCCTGATGTACTGTTAAGTAAGTTATCACATTAACTTGGGTCTCCAACAATTTAAGATTATTTACCATTGTTCAGACTATGGTTACACATGTTTTATTTACCATTGTTCATACTATGGTTACACATGTTCCCAATGTTTTAAAGAGTTTTCTTTGCTGAAAGCATCTAATCAATTGTTACGACCGTGAGTGACTATAGATGACTACGAAGAAAAATAATACAATATCATTATGTTCATAATAAATCATTAAATACAAGTACATACAAATCTTTGATCTATTTCATCCATTGTTTATCCTGGACTTCACAATGTCCATTCCAGTTGATAAAGGGAGGAGGGCAATGATAAGAAAAAAAACAATGAGTCCCTGAACCTAGCTGATACCAGGTCAAGAACCAAGGATTCTCTCCCAAAAGAGGATTCTGACTCCTGGAACCACTGGACAAACAAGCATGCTGGTCAAAAAGCCATTTACCTCTTGGAAGAAAACCTCCTGACCCCAGCTAAAAGGATAAAAAAAAGGCTAACCAAGTTCAGGACTGACTCTCTTGTCCTAGGTTTGGCACTTCCTGCATGAGGAATTCCAAACCCTTAAAAGAGGAACCCTAAACGAGCTAGCGCTGACTTCGAGACACAGCAAATGGTGCTCCTAGGGTCAGTTACCTCCTCAGGGATAAAGTAAATCTCACTGTAAATAAACAGTAAAGAAATTTGTTATAACCAATATAAGAAACAGTAGTGTGAAAAATTTACATTTAAATGGAAAGTTTTGATGCAACTAAGAAGTTGAAAGTAATAAGTTTATTATAGCAAAACTCAATATGAAAGTGTTACTGTTAAGTCCTCAGTAAGATCATTTTAGAATTTCTTTCCGTCAAATGACATAAAATGCAAAGTGTTCACAGTATATTTATTTTGGTGAAAACTAAAAGGTTTTCTGCTTGTATATTACATGTTCCTCATCTTTTTCACAAGTCCTTACTGAAGAGAGAATCAAAATTCTTCAGATTCTCTTAAAATCAGGAGGATGGGGAGATTTTAAGAGAGAATCTCTACATCCTCCGATTTTTGAAAAATAAGTTTATAATAAAAAAAATACAAGTCCAACTTTCCTGTGTATGAAGTTTTGGTAGTTAATGGATAATAAAATGATGACGAGTCCAAGAAGACCCTTCCTTTCTTTAGAAACATACATAGAAAATATTGAGAAGAGAGAGTTGATAACAGATGATCCAGAAGAAATCAATACATGTACAGTATAGTCTGGATTTCTGTGAGTTTTTTCACAGCGTTTGGTCATTTCTGGCGGTGCCTTGCAGAATGAAATGTTTTAATTATGTGGTAAATTTCATCATTTACGGGGAAGCGGCCGCGGGCAGTCGCGCCTAAAAGGTAAGCCCAGTCATCAAAAACATTACGAGTTCTTCACCGCCACCCACAACCGGCCAAGTCAGTGATAGTGAGGATATGGACTTATATGGACTTTGAGGGGTTTGACAAGAGGCCTGCAAGCCTCTGTGGTGGATAATTGATACAATTGATGATACAAGTGATGGGTGAGAGCCAATAATCTGCCCTCTGCCTCGGAACCTACCCCCATCCCTTAATTGCCCAGCCATCTTTTCTACTAGCGTAAGTGTTAAAAAACCCTAATATTATTGATATTTCTCTTAAATATTAATTGTGTGTGCATACCATCATAAAATTAAGATACTATTTTTACTACAAGCATTAGGTATTGTGTCGGAAAAACTGGAGTTTAGGGTGCGGCCCAGTCTCTATTCAATTAATCCCATATGCTCTGTTATTTTGTTTGGCGTTTTCTAAGTTTCGCAGCGGACCTCCACGAGTTCAATTGGCAGCGTAAATGCAGACTATGCACAATACATAGATATTGCATTACAGTTGATTAGAAGAAATTAAACAGGATTATAAACCTATACCCACCAATATGTACAGGTACACTTTACTACAGTGCGATTTACTTGTCAATCAGCTGTATGTGTCACAATATCTTCACAGGAATGATGAGGACTTGGCATGAGATGTTGCCAGGTCTTGCTTATGATCACAATTGTCTACCTCAAACCAAGTGTTCAGTGACATTGTGATGAACACTTTGCAAGATATTGAGAATATCTTGCCCATGACAAATAGTTTTACACCAATATTTGGTAACTTGCTTACCATGATGAATTACTTGTACAAGGTATGATAATATATGAGCTCTAACTGTAGTAAAATTAATAAAAAAGAATATGTATGTTTTAATTTATATTTATTTAGTGTAACTGGAACAATAGAAGTAAACACTTATGGTAAAGAAAGAAATTAATGCGTCGCAGCACACATGCAAACATTGTGTTATTTCTCTCACGTAAAATATGAAAGCAACACTTATTACTATTTATTGCAGAAGTAAATATATATGTTTCAATTAATGTTTGTGAATGTAAAACAAAAGTTCTACTCACCAATTGAGAACACAGCCAATGTTGTTGTCTGAGTTTTTACTCAGATATGGAGCAAAGTGCCTAAATCATCAGGTCACCCTCTCTTGGCTTTTGAGCCAACACTACCATCACCTGCTTTCTTGCTCATGTTTAATAGGGGGCACAAAATGCTTTAAAATACCTGAAGAGATTTTTATCACCGATCCAATTCAGAAACGTGGTAATGAAAAGAGCTGCCAAGCAGAGACTGTTTATGTTAGTGGCGTCACCAGCCTGGCAGCTGAGAAGGTTCAAGAAGGTGTTATCTTCTATAAAATATTTCCTAAAGTTGCTGGTTAATGTACCAAAACTGTCCAGTGTTACCAGCAACTGTGGGTTGTTGGTTTTGGTCAGAAGAGCAACAAGGCTGTGATATATTGGGTAGATTTTAATTTTTGCAATTTTCTTTTGTTTTGTACAATTGTCATTATTTTTCCAATGTGTACCAAGTGTAAATTTCTTTTTGTGATTTGTAAGTAAATAAACCTTTTTAAGTTTTTGTTTGGTGATATTTGGGGCCTCAGGTCCTTAACCCTTACAGTATTGAATGATATATCACAGCATTCTCGGTCTCTATCTCGTAAAATAACCCAAAGGCTACTACAGTGTACCTTACTTTCTCTTTTAACTTTTTGGCATAATGATTAACCCTTGCTATGACATACGACTCCACAATATGATATGTACATGTTTGACTGCAATAAGCATCATATTAGGCCAGATTTCTCCTCCCTGTTTTTAAAATTGCAGACTAACATTTAGCACTCACAGAAACATGTCACGTCTCAGTAGATCTCCTCACTACCCACCAGCAGGGCTATAAGTTGCCTCTCGGATTATGATGGAAGACATGTTCATTACTATAGGTGAAAATAATCAGTATATACAATTTATTAAAAGATATAACACAAATATTTTAATATAAAAAGGTCACATGGATTTTCTCATAATTTGTAAGTACATTAATAACTATATACAGTAACAACAATTATCAATACAAATTGTTGCTAAGATATTCATTTTATAATCTGTGTTCTATCTAACAACTATATCTCACATCTATGAGGGGCATGTCACAGTTTTCTTTCAATATGTTGAAAATATCTAAACATATTTGTGTTTAAAAGTAACACCATTATATTGCATCCTTACTCAAAATACTTAAATTCAGATGCAAACTCAAGGTGTATTTACAGTACTGTACAGTGTAAGTAAATAAAAGGCTATAAGATGAAAATAAGACCACATACACATTAACAGAATGAATAAATACAAATATTAGGTATATTCACATAAATGACCACACCCAGCTGGACCTTGTTGTTGGCCATCACTGCATGATGGCGGTGGAGATGGCCACCATGGGAGCAACCTTGACACCATACGTACAGACCCGGCGTACCATCCCGCACGTGACACAGAGCACATGTTGCGGCGGCCTTTTACATCCACACTGGTAATAATACAAAACACATTCTCCACGAGCCTGTGGTATGCAGTAAGCAAACATTACTGAAATATACAGTATTATAAGACATTCTTACAACTTCTGCATGACACTGCGGCATATGTTGGAGTTACTTCGCATGTTGATTCACTCTCGTGATTTAAAACAAGATCTATAACTCTTGATACAATTAACAATAAAAAGCAGGTAATTTTTATTATAGAAAATCTGGTCATATCAATGAGCAGTCTAAAATAAATACTACAGCTCCTCCCCGACTTGACCTGTAAACTTACGACCACCCGCACCTCTGACTTGCCTCAGTCATACCAAATTTTGTCAAATTCACGTATTTTCGAGTCTAACATCAGTACACAAAGAGAATTTTCGTTTTGTAATTCACTTTAAAAATAGCTGGCAGAAAGCTTAAAAGTGAGGATTTTGTGGTGCTGAGAGAAAAAGACACCCATTTTAGATTTTCTATGTATTATTTAAGCATTTTCGACTTATGACCATCTTGACTTATGACCTGGATTTGGGTCCCTAACCCGTCGTAAGAAATTAGAGGGCTTGCTAATAGCTTGTTTTTGTATATACTGTATTAATTGAACTGTGTAAATCAAGTTGTAAGTCTGTAGCTAATGTGTGCAAGTAGTTGCTACAAAACATCAGTATGGTCATTTGACTGAAATTTTTCTCTACCTGGGGTGTATGTGGTCCAAGAAACAGATCTATATACAGTTTTACTAGTTGATGTTAGAAATATGGTTATGGTAATTAAAGCTGCCTCACGCAGTCATAGATGGTTCCATACTGTACAAACACCTTGATGACGAACAACTGCTGTTTGTCTCTTAGATAAACTAATCCAAACCTTCGTTTATTCATAAACATCAAAATTCATCCTTGTCTTATTTGTCAGCCTGAAATTCTGTCATGTTGAGGAACAAAAGTACACCTTGAGCTGTATTAAGGGGATGGAGTGTGAGACTTGGTTGTCAAACATGTCATAATCAGGTCGGGCCTAGGGTCACAGTGGCTTTACTTCCAGGTACCTGAAGGTGATGTGAGTGTAATCCTGCGGCACTACCACCTCACCCCCAGGCCCTGCTCTCTGACTATCTCCTCCTGGGGACGGGTTGTCAAACTTGCCAATCAGGTACAAAAAGTGACAGCTACAGTCAGAAGCTGGTGAGCCATGCAGGTCAGCACTGACTGATGCATATGATACCTTTGCATCGATCAGAATTTTTTGGCGATGCAAATGCGCCGGTTTAATATTGGCCTGGATCAAGCCCTTGTGATGGCAGTGTTGGTGATGATGGTGAGGAGTGGTGATGGTGGGTGTTGGTGGTGATGGTGAGTGTTGGTGGGGTGAAAAGTGACCCATATGATCACTTCAGACTATGTTGATATATAATGGACGAGTCTGTTATTAATCCGGATGTGGATAAAACGGATTTTTTGGCTTTAACACTCCAATTGATGTTATATCAGGGTTTATTGTATTGTAAATAGTATGAAACAGGCAGCCTTTTGCCATGTGACGAACACCAGGTGCCTCAAGAAGGCTCAGGTTCTTAACTGGCTCAATATGTTAATATTGTTATTATTATTGACCCTGTATCCGTATTTTTTCTAGCTAAATAAACTGTTTCAATATCAATGAGGTCTGTGCAGCCGTTTATGATGAAACTTGTGACTCCATTTGGGGTCATAAGTAAGAAACCGTTCAAGCCTCCTACGTTTACATCTGGGTCAAGAGTAGTGATCTAACACCACTTAAATGCCCTGTATTTGCAAATTCTAGACAAGTCAATGGTGAAAGCCAGTGAAACCAGGGTGTGTGTGTGTGTGTAAACTTAAGGATCAATACTGCTTGGTGAGTAACCAGAGTGTGTTTAAGGACCCAAGTACTGAGGCTGTGTTTAGTATGAAGTACATTAGTGCATGGAGTGGAATGCAGTGTTTATTTCTTGGTGACAAGTAAGTTTTTGGAGAGTTGTGAGATCAGGAATGTATTCCCTATTTCCACTTGTACAGTGTACTTCCTCCAATGACATACCTTTCTACAGAAGACTGTTCAGCCAAAGGAAAGAAGTTGCAACGACCACAGTGCAATGTCACTGATGTAGATTGCTGGTTTTGTTGTCGCACAGAAGGGAAGGCCTTCTGAAAGAGCATCAAAAACATTTAAATTTAATGTGAATGTGTGTGTGTGTGTGTGTGTGTGTGTGTGTGTGTGTGTGTGTGTGTGTGTGTGTGTGTGTGTGTGTGTGTGTGTGTGTGTGTGTGTGTGTCGCGTGTGATGCGTGTGTGTGTGTGTGTGTGTTAGTTCCGTGTATAACTTTTCTTTCGTAATTTCATTCCCGTTAAAAAGAATTAATAAATTATTTACCTGCAAATGTATGACTTGATTGTAACATTCCATATGCAAGTGCTGCAAGATGTCAATATATGATATAAACCAATGTTCAACCTGGTCTGCATCCAGGAGCTCCTGTAAAGTATATAAATCACCTTTATTAGACCAAAGTAAAGAGTATTGGTGGTAATTCTGACACTGACATTTACAATAAATTAAACTGCTAGGCTGTTTTACCAATCCCCAAAATTTTGTATCTCTCTGGGGACCCAGTTTTTAATTTTCATTCATCCATCCCAGTCACCGGCCTTCCTCTGGCCCTCCTACCCCTCTTAATGCTTTTGAATATATATATATATATATATATATATATATATATATATATATATATATATATATATATATATATATACTACTATATATATATATATATATATATATATATATATATATATATATATATATATATATATATATATATATATATATATATATATATATATACGTAGTCATCTTGCCGTAAAAGCGGCTTAGTAAAGTGAACAACATAACATATAGGATTAAATGACAGAACATTTGACCCCAAACTCCACTTTTTCGACACAATACCTATGTTCTAGTAAAAATAACATCTTAATTTTATGATGATGGTACATGCACACAATTAATACTTAAGAGAAATAGAGAAATAGTCACCAAGTTAATGTCCATTCCGTAATGGACTCAACTCCCTCCCCTCTTCTCCACCTCCTGGCTCTTCCCTCTCTGAGAAATGTTGGGGAAAACCACTAGATTTTAAGGTATAGTAGTAATAAATAATACCTCCAAACTAAGTTAGGATAATTTAATTGACATTGCTGGATTCCTTTGCAAGACCAGGAATATTTTGAATATAAATGTCATATATTTTGCACAAAAAGATAACATATTTACTCCAAGAGTAAACAAAATACTTAGAGTAGATCTAAAATTTGTATGTCTAATGCCAAAATCTGTGATGTTTATATTCAAAATGATCTCATCAAATTGTAAAATTCCAGCAATGCTTAAGTGTTATATTCTGGCGGTAATTTGTATGAATTTTATAGGCTAAAACAAAATATCTTCAGTTAATAAAAAATATATTCTTCCGCGACACTATCTGTCAATCAAAGTACCCCACCTTGCCTCCCCACTCTTCCAGCAGCGCCAGATGGTGGTCGGTCCCTCCCTGCCCCCACCCCCACCAACCCTCCCTACCAGAGAAATGTGAGGGAGAAACCAGAATATTTACCTTTTAGTAATAAATATTACCTCAGACTAAAGTTAGGATAATATAATTGACATTGCTGGATTCCTTGCAAGACCAGGAATATTTTGAATATACACTTCATATATTTTGCACAAAAGATAACATATTTGCTCTGAGTAAACAAAATACTTGCATTAGATCTAAAATTTGTATGTCTAATGCAAAATCTCTATGATACTTATATTCAAAATGATCATCAAATTGCCAAATTCCAGCAATGTAAATTTGCTATTCACCAACCCGAAATAATTTGTATGAATTTTATGAGCTAAATAAAAAAGTATACTTCACCAGCGTATATGAGTAGATGCACGAGGTGAAGTGAAATTCGGTTCTGGCAGGGGTACGTGGAGAAGCTTGGCGTGAAAGCGAGGGGTTGACTGTTGATGATATGTATGTAATAGCAATAGCCAGCAGCAATAATATATGTATGTAACAACAATATGTATATATATATATATATGCTCAATAACAATGTGTAACATGTGTGTATGCCCATGTGCATGTATGTGTGTGTATGTATGTATATATGTATGCTGCTGCAACATGTATATATATATATGCTGCTCCTTATATATGCTGCTTATGCTGCTACCACTGCTGTATATATATATATATATATATACTATATATATATATATACCCATATACTCTTATATATATATTGTATATATATATATATATATATATATATATATATATATACATATATATATATTATATATATATATACAATAATAATAATATATGTATATATATGTATATATATATATATATATATATATATATATATATATATATATATACAATATATATATATATATAACAATAACCAACAACAATATATATATATATATATATATATATATATATATGTATATATATATATATATATATATATATATATATATATATATATATATATATATATATATATATATATATATATATATATATATATATATATATATATATATATATATATATATATATATATATATATATATATATATATATATATATATATATATATATATATATATATATATATATATATATATATGGTATATTATTATTATTTGTTTTTTTCACATTGCGTATGCAAGATTGTGTGTGCTTGTAACAAAGTTTAAAAAACGAAGAAAATTATGTATGGCTCCCTGAAATTACTTGTAGTGACAGCTCCATGTTTTGTGGCATTTTAGGACATCTTGGGGAAGTACATTTTTTCAAACAAACATATCTCAGCTTTTATAATGGAAGTCTATGAGATAATGTGATCTGATTTACAAAAGGTTCTTCAGGAATGGAATCCTTTCATAAATGGGAAAATCCATGTTCAGTTAAGAAAGTATTACTGTAGTTACAGATGTATACTTTTGTCTAAATGATAGACATAACATTTAACTAACCTTCAGTCTATCACGGAGAACAATGAAACAGGTGACTGACATCTGGACGTCACCGTGAGTTGCATAATAATAGAGCATTTCCACTACCAAGTCGGAACACTTCCAGGCTGGAGCCCCTGTCCCTCGCATCTCACTAAGGAGGGAGGGAGTCTCTACCACATATCCTGAAGCAACACCTAAGAAACATATATGTGTGAACTGAGAGATAAAAATGATGAATAAACATCTGTTACAGCTGCAGGAATGAAGACAAAGCATGAGAGAGAATGTGATGCTGTTGATTAATGCCACCCAGCATGGAATTAGGAAAGGTCTTGAAGAGAGTATAAGTAGGTCTATAGCCCATTACCAATCTGTTCATCCACAAGTAATCCCTAATTCTAGTAGTACTGTATTGTAAGAGGCTGTATTTAGCAATACTTTAAACATTTTCCTAAATAATTCTGAATTTTGACTTTTAGACTTTACAAAAATGAGATGAATTCTAATCTTTACTTCACTACAATTAACAAATAAAATTTAAGTTACTGAATAGCAGCAACAGGTAATGGAAACTTGGCCATACAATAACACAACTGCAATATGCTCGCACACAAAAACTTGTTACTTTCTAAACAGGATTACAATGAATAAAGGCAAGTCCATACATACTGTACTGTACTGTGTAATATACATACCAGCTTCCTGAATCTCTCTGGGCGAACATTTTGAGGAGAATTCCTGAGGTGGAATGGCCGATCTTTGCAAGATGTCATGGCGTGGCTCAAAAGCTTCATTGGGCAGAGCCCAATCTTGACTAGTGTCCATGTTACTAAGATTCTCGTAATCAAAAGGTATTTGGGTGATTTCTCCGTCTCCAAAGAAAAAGTCCTGGTTGATTGTCATGCCACTGTCAATAATGCAAGAACCAAAAATACTGGAGTTTAGAAAATGGGAAACAGATACACAATGAAGGTTATCTTATGTAAATCAGGGTTGGTAAAAAGCATGTCATAACTGATTCACGACAAGACTCTGATTTAAATCATATCATATTTGCCATAACAAAAACCCAAGTGTATGTATAAAAATTAAATACACACATGTGAAAAACCATAAAAAATATGCAACATTGTATTTTTATTTTTATTAGGTCAGACAGGGAGAAAACACTAAAATAAAGCTACAGTACCGCACCTGAATTTGCTTTAATAAAACTAAAATTTACGTGGTGGCAGGCTTTCCTCTGTTCGTGTAGATTGAAGCATATTCTTACAGAGATAGATGAAATTAATAGCAAATACAGCTATAATTCAGATAATTTGATAAAACAGGAAAGCATCATATCACTTCACTTCACTGCCAAATTTGCCTGAATTAAAAATAAATTTTGTTAATAATTTTTGAGTCACAGCTGCTATTTCTAGTCATTGATTTCTTATTATGAAGGCTGAAGAGAAGTTAAAAAGGTATGTAGTAATATACAAATACTGTAATCAATTATAACATTTATGACTTTAACGTGTCAAAAATTACTGTTTTACATCATGCCGACCCTGATGTAAATCTATGAAACATATGGAGCAAATTATTAAATATGAGTAAAGGTAATGAAGACTGAGGAACACATAGATGAACTGTACAAGGTGCCTCATAGTCCATAACCCATAGAGAAACTATTGTCTTCTTTTGTCTTCATCAGGGGAGGGAATCATAACAAATCAGCAAAGATAGCACAGACGTTAACACTAGAGGAAGACTTACTTTAATATTTATGTGTGGAAACTAAACATGACACACCTATCAGTTGGAAAAAAAGTGTAATCAACAACATCCATATGCCTGGGTGTTGACGGTTAAATTCTTTCCGACCAGCCGAGATAATAAGCTCACCTGGCAATATTTGTCAGCTTCAGATCATGGTTGTCGGTATCATCTGTCTCTGTGTCTCCTTCCTCTGCACTGAAGCCTCCTCCAGATGTGTCTCCACCAGCATCACCCCCAGAGAAGTGACGTGACGATCTGTAAATAAAGATGATTTTGTGAATTACGAACAGAGTAATCGTGTAATAAAATTCCCGCTAGTGAAGATTTGGTAGAAAAATAAGCCTATTAAAATGTTTGGGTCAAATGGTGTACTCTAGCTCTATATACATCAACCTTAGTGTTCCCCTTAAACTTAACCAACCACTCACAATCAGAGGCTTGGCTCACTTGTCACTGTTGAGGCTTGACAGTGTAAGCAAGACCTACACTGCCCACTATATCCGGTTTAATTAAGCCAGTAGGTAGAGCTGTCAATCTGTGGTCAAGTCATCATTACATAAACGAGGTTGAGAATCCATTGCTGGCAAGACTGTTAGTAACCCCCACCTTCCTCTTCACTGACTGGAATGTAATCAGGAATCTGCTACTGGCTCACCCTAACAACAGCAACTAAGACTCATGGTGTGTTAGCATTACCTCTGTTCATTCTCCAAACTGGTGTCTGGCTGTACAGTTGGATCATCTCTGGAGGAGCCCTGGTGACCTGACAAGTGGTCACTACCACCACCAACACCTACATACAGCATTTGTAGTATCTGCCATGTCAGTGCAATCTGAAGGAAGAATAAAAGTTAAGATATAAAGTACATTCAAAACTAAGTTCACATTATTTATCATGGAAGCCAACCAAGATCATCCACAGCATATTACCACTAAGCCCACACTGATGTAGGCAGAGAATAATTTTTCTCAATTTTATTTTTTAGAATGGCAATTTATCAGAACACTAATAATACTATAAGAGCGTATCTCCTTAAAACTGTTTAGTTATTACAATGAAACTTACAAATAACAAGAACGATGAAAGAGAAGCAAATGGCAGAGGTTATCAAAGATCTTTATTTCCTGCTTCTCTACTTGTAATTTGGTTCTTTAATTTCATTTAATGTTCACCTTTACTGTACTTCTCATGTATACTGCACCTCTCTATAATAAAATCAATTAACCAACACTCACACACATCTATATTCATGAACACAAAACCTATGTATTTAACCTATTATATTTCTGTAGGTCAGAACAAGGGATACAGACACTTCAAATGATGGGTGTAAATAGTGGAGTGGTGCAAGGCAGGTGTAGATGTAACAGGAAAGGGTAAAGACAACAAGTAATTAGAAATGCTTGTAAAATAAACAACATCACATTGATTAAGAACTCTAATAAGCCTGATGTGAAGAGAATGGATGAGGCTAATTGAGTCAAGAGGTGCATGAGCCTAATGTGAAAGGAAGGAGAGCCCGGGGTACGCCAAGAATGAAATGGGGAACAGTTATAAGAAATGATATTAGAGTTAGGAACCTGACAAGAAAGACTGCAAGAGAATATGCTGCATGGAGAGCTGCCATCTGGTAATCACAGCTGACCTACACAAGGGTGAAAATGGCTGTAAAGCATTGATGACGGTGATGAACACATGGACAGCTGTAAGAATGGATGAAGAAGTGAAACACATCAGACGTGACATGAATGTTCCAACTACAAGTATACCTGTTCATTTATTAACTTGCACTCAAGAACACAAAAAATTGAGCCAGACCTGATGTCTATTCAGCTTTTTAGCTACTCCAGCATTATGTTCACATATCTCCCCAAGGGAACGTCCAGTGAGGAGGTACTGCTTGGCAGACTCAACAAGGTGGTGGGTAGAGACTGGACCATCTTCTTCACAATTCCTCATCTGAATGGATGACAGCACCTGCCCAATGTGCTCACCAAAATTTGCTGGCTTCCTGAATATAAGTTTTTACATCAAAGCAAGAAAACAAAAATATAAAATTTAAATTACGTACTCTCAAGTATGTAAAATAAAATAAGATGCATTCAAGGTATAGCTGGAAGATATAACAGATACTGTAGAGGCCTCAGAAATAAGTATACACACTGTAGCTGTAAGGTCCACAAGTGGTCTGGTAACATTGGTACTACACACTCCTGATGTATGATGAAACTCAGCTCCCTCCCACCTTCAACTTCCTTCATCTCTCACCCTCCCTAGCCCATTCCCATAAGGGAAGGGGGGGGGGAGAGTGGTGAAGGAGGGAGGGCAGGTTAAGAGAGGGAGGGAGACAGATGTGGAGGAGGGAGGGAATTATATGAAGGAAGACAAAAGTTGTGTTCCTCAAACTTCAAAATGGTATGGAACTGGAGTGTGACTTGCCAACAGATAACCCAAGCTATAACTCCAACCTGAGTGAGGAGAACTGACATGTGGTCTAGCAGCGCTGCTTCAGTAAGTTACAAACCTGGCTTAAGTTATTTGTAGGTGAGGTTAAACTGAATAAAAACTGCACTGCACAATAGAAGATGAAAGAATATATGTATCACACTAACAGGAACATAACGTAACTGTAATAAGAATACAGTACAGTACCTGTAATAGGATATCACAGAATCTACAAACTTATGGGTGATTCTGAGGGACCAAAACATCTGATAATGATTACTAAAAGAAATGAGTGAATATCAATGGATGAGTAACAGAATTACTGTAACAGTTTTAATTTCACCTAAACACTGACAACTTTGTCAGAGATCCAGTGGGCTCAGAGTCCTCTTTTATCCGGGAAGCATTGGAGATGTTGCCGTAAATACTAATGTCTAAGGCAGCAGGATTGACATCTTCCATAGGCCTTGCTGCATCTTGAAAGGAATGATGAATCAAGGTACAATCCTGGAAAACAAAACCATGCATATAGACTTGTGCTCTGGTTTAAAACATCTCTCATAACTGAACTACGTACAGTGAGGGAGGTATCAGTGTTTCATCGTACACAAGAATTTACCCTCGCCAGTATCAGGAATAAATTAGTAGTGTGTATTATCATTTGAAATGGTAAGTGTACAGTCTGTATATATACCACACAACTGAACATCTTTCCTTATAAACAGACAAACTGTATGTCTTAAAGGCATATGGTAAGGATACAAGAGGACCATGGTGACCTCACAAGATAAGAGCACCTTCACTTACCTTTCCAACAGACAGTAAACTGTTTGGGTCACCTCGCCAGCAAATGCTAGTAGTTAGATTTTTGTGCTCGTTAAAAGCTGCCAGAGGTATATAAGGCCGCCTTATGTCCCAAACATTAATGCTACAGTCCCACAGCAAGGCAGAGCTAGAACACAAAAACATCTTCAACAAACCTCTTAAACCACGGTACAGTATCTTTGTCTTGTACTCTAAAGAAATCTGTGTCAGTAAATAAAATACAGCATCTGAGGACAGGGAGGGAACCCTAAGGCCTCTATCACACCAATACAACCTCCAAAGTATGAGTAAAATTTGCCTAATGTAGTACTGTACGTATTACCATTTTCCATTCCATATCATTTATAATGTAACTCTTCTGTGAAATGCCATAATTTCTTTAACTTGAACACAAATTTTTCCAATCATGCAAGCATTTCCCTCAAGTCTTCCTCACTCAACCCTCCTAATCATATTCCCATACTGTAACTGTAACCTGTTTCTTATCACATACACACACACTGGTTTTGAGTCCTCCAATTATGATCTCTGGTTAAGGTTTACACTTTCCTGAAACCTACTTTTACTTGTTGCATTTATGACTCACCAGAACAACCTGACCCAACTCTTTGACTTCTTAGATTCTACTATCAAATGCACTTTGTCCTACAACCACTATACTGTAATTGTCTTTCTTGGTCCATTGGTCCATACTATTTTCTGGCTCACTCACTATTCTTGTGCAAATGTTTATGCTATTACTGTGTCATGTCTAATCCTTTCTTCTGACCAATCTTGTCTATGCATCTAGCTGACCAATCTTGCATTCTTTCCTCCTCTTTAAAATCTCCTTTCCCCAAAAGCACATAAGTGGTAGCCCAAAATACAATCCCTTCACCCTGAAAATATTAACAGCAAATCTCTCTAGTCATTAAAGTTCTTTTGCTACAACATCTATAATTAATTTAATATCTACTGTTATATTTATACAACACAACAGGACTTACCTAGCAATGTGGTACTTGGTGTTGGGCCTCCACTTGACTCTGCCAACTGAAGCAATTGTTTGAATGGTGTTGCATACAGTAGGAATTTCATTTAAATCCCAAACCTGTTTAAACAAATAATTAAATGATAAAACTAAGATGAATGATATTGTTTTCTGTATTTCAATAACATCAGACCTCTGTGATTGCAGGCTACCTCTTTTATCTATAAACAAACAGCATATGGTCAACTGTGGTGTGGGGGATGTCCTGGGCAGTGGTACAAGGGACCCATGTGTGATGATTCAAATTTTATAAAATCATGAAAATGCCATTTATTACTTGAGGTAAATTAGGTGTGTATACTCTTCAGTAAACTTTAATATGTTTTTCAGGTAAATGACAAAAGACTGTGTATGCATATTACATAATAAAAAAAAATCAATAAAATAATGATCACACAGCTTGGCCTGGTATGGGAAGAGCTAAGGGGCTGTAGCTAAAGGGCCAATTTAACTTGGTGACATACTACGTCCACACATACGTTCACTTCAACACCCAGGCTCTTCATATTTCTCAATTAATAGCAACATATTTTTTGATATACTGTACAGGTACACTCCATATAATGCAATAAAATAACTACAATACCATAAAAAATATACAAAAGAACAATGTGAGTGACTGTGTGTCTGTGCATGAGTGAGTGTGTGTCTGTGAGTGTACAACATTTGAATGATCCCATTGAGTTTCAGAAATTTCTAAACCATGTGGGTCCTCAAGCTCAGAAAATACATGCTCGTGTGAAGCTGGCTTTACAGCGGAATGCATGAGCTGTGGCTAGCACGCAAGGTTTGAAATATTACTGTAGGGTACCATAATTTTTTTTGTGAATAAGCAGGGTATGCTTTGCAAATATCAAATAAGGGCGTTAAAATATCAATTAAGGATAAGTGGGACAGCGAAGAGAGAGGTATTCTTGTACTGTACAGCAGTTCAACAGTTGGCATCTTAACAATGAGGCAACTGATAAAGCAACAAGTGCTCATTCTCTGAACACTAATAGAAAAGTAAGCTTTACTTTTATGGTTTTATCCCTGCCAGCAGTAGCAATCCAAGTTTTAACTTCAGGATGCCAGTCCAGGGCAAAAATAGGGCCCCCATGGGCAGTGAACTGCTTCTCTACTCGGTCAGGTCTCCTCATGTCCCACAACTGCACATTCCCATTCTCAGAAACTGCACAGAAGTTCATGCTATGGTGCGGGTTGAACTGTACGTCTCTGACACTCTCAGCATTGCTGCAAATTAAAAATATAGTATGTATGTATGGTGCACGAAATATAAAGTAAATATTAATGAGAACAAAATGATGGGAACAATAAGAGTTCTCACAATTTACACTCCAACATGATGATATCAACTCAGTAAGAAAAGTGATTCATTTACGAACTGTGAACACTTATAAATATTTATGTCAACATATCAAACTAGAATTAATACTGAATATCATTAGAGTTACAAACCTGGTAAAAGTCTGAGTAGCCTCTCTTCTCCGTAGGTCAAACAACTTCATGAACCCATCATGTGAGCCGGATATCAACAGATGCGATTCACACGGATGAAAACTGACCTGTGGAAACACGTCACTAATCATATTAGCCGATCTGTTTCATACTTACGCCTAAAGAGGATTTCTAGATGAACCCTCCATTTAAAACCCAATGGCCTTGCTGAGTGACTTGTGTCATTAAAACACAGCCTGACTGGGAAGGGTGTGGAAACAAAAGCTCTAACCATAATGTCTTGAAGAAAACTGTTCATGAATAAACAAGACACTAGAAGCTCCTTCAAGTTTATATGAATATACTGTATTGTATTTAAAGACAGTGACAAAATCCCTTACTCATCATTCCCTTCCCTTGATGTGACATGTGAGACCCAGCAGACAGATCTTGTGTATATGTATCTAAAGAACCTCTGATGACAAACACCACCTTTAACAGGTCAAAGGAATGAAAAAGTTTGGTCTCTAAATCTTATTTTTATGGGCTGATTACTACAATTTAACAAAGGCTTTCTTAACCTGAATATACAGTATTAGCAGTAAAAGTAAGTTCAAGGGCTTTTTCACACTGTTCACAAGAGGTACATGTTGAACCCATCCAATCCGGCACCCTCAGGACCTAACTGGTGGAGGACCATAGGAATTTTGGAACCCCAGATCAGTTAAAGTCTGGAGAAAAAATCTTGTTCTACTGATACATGAAATATATATAGTGTACAAATTAACAAAAAAGCAATAAAAAGTATTACCATTTCCTCCAAACAGTTACATTACATAATAAGCAAAATAGAATGAATAACAGAGTACAGTACTGTAATAATCTGCCCATCACAGAAGCAAACCTACCTGAAGTGATTTTATATTTAAATGTCTTGATATCTGGTATATTTGTACTGAATATTTTAGTGAAATACTGTACGTATACCAATTGTAGTTTTTTAATCAAATGTGCTCAGGAGGAATGTTAGTACAAGTGGATACATTCACAAAATCCACTTCGTTCTCAGAAGCCTTGTTGTCGGAGGTAGATTTAATCTGGAGTAAATGTGAATAAGTTCCAGTCCCTTTGTATTATGCATACTGTACTGTATAAGGTGTACACGTCCAACATATACAGTACTACAGTAATAGAAAACTAAGCACAGTGACGGACAAAAGTTGGCTCCCCATGTTGAAACTGAGTCACGGGAATGTGTCTCTGAACTGACTCACTACGACTGTCATTTGGTGAGTACAGTATATCGTTTTATCTCACTTGGGATCGACACTACTTCAGTTTGGGGGAGGGAGTGAAGTTTTGATCCCGACTGTTCATAAAACCCTTTAGAAATTACATACCTTGTGAACAGTCCGGCTGTGGTCGTTGAACACACAATCCATCTTTGACCGAGACGGTTTGTTCAAGTTCCAGGTGACAACAGCCCCATTTGTGGATGCTGTAGCAAGAACACTGTCTGAAAAAAGAAAAATTTTTAAACTACAAGACGGCTAAATTTTTTTTGTTTCATCCCACAGGTTTGGTGTGGCCAACTACAATACCGTATCATCAAATTTTTACACAATAAAAATGGGGAGAATAAATTAGTAAAAAGTTGTTTAATAAGCTTAATAAAGAAGAAGAAATTATAAAGAATTATTTTGAGTTACTTAAATGATGTTTTTGAAAGTACTGTACTGTAGGAAGAGAATGAGAAAAATGAAAGATTCAGTAACTTTAGGGAAGTGATTTGAGTGCCAGAGTGCCAACCAAGATTTATTATGATAACATGAGCACACAGAAAATGGGAAGAGGCATACTGTACTGGTCAAAAGAATGGATGATTTAAAAGTGGATGGGAGAAAAGAGAGGAAGAGAGAAAATGCTGGAAGCTGGGGGTAAGTATGTAGGAATGGGGTGGGGGCGAGATAGACTTTGAGGAAGCAGCAATGTGTGTGTGTGTGTGTGTGTGTGTGTGTGTGTGTGTGTGACTGGAATGCATCATGTTGACTGGCTTTAAGGGACAGATACTGTATATATATATTGTACTGATGATGTGTCAAGCTGTGATACTGTATGACGTGACAAGCATAAAGTCCTCACTGTGGCAGGGTGCTACAAGGGAGAACACATATGGTAGTTATGTCTGTTAGATGGCTGAATAACATAGAACAAGAGGAGAGAGTGTCTGTGTAATATGAATGAACAAAAAAAATATTAAGCTACCTGTTAATAATTAAAGGAGAGAGATAAAATAGAGGTACAAAATTTTATAAAAACAAAACTGTAATATTACCTTCCACAGGATTCCAAACCACATCATTGCAGGAGAAGTTTAGGTTTAGATGTTTACCAGCGCGAAGGTTCGCTTTTTCTACGAGGTCTTCCTCTTCAATGGAAAAGATTTTGAACACTGAAAATAAAAATTAATAAATAGATCAATAAAAATAACCACCATCTACCAACACAGTCAATAAGTCTATTTCTTGTCCACATACATTCAGACAAGTTTATGAAAGCACAATTAAATAGCACAGTACTATACAGTATTTTCATTATAACAGAGTCAATATTACTGCCAAAGCTAAACTTTTCCTCCTACCCTGAAATAAACAAACAACTATAAATTTACACAAAATGATGTCCCAAGTTATGAAAAACATCAAATTACAATTAGATTTACAGATATATGAAAGTATTGTTGGATGTACAGTCGTTAAAAGATGCTTACCATGACGGCCAGCAATGACAACTTGGAGGTTGTCGGGACTGAGAGCCAAGGCATTAGCGGGAACATCTTGGGTCACACACACTGTCTTCATTCTGCTTTGGTCATAAAAAAACACCTGGATATAAAGTGAATATTAATTAAAGATATTTTCCTGGAACTTTACAACTTCCTATAAACAATGATGATACATTTATTCTTTCTTGGGTTAATAATAATAATAATAATAATACAGTAATAATAATAATAATAATACTGTACTGATAATAATAAGATCTAAAAAAAGAACTATATTTATGACACTCACAGTACGAGTAATATACCAGTACAGTCGTAGGTATTTGCAATTTTCCATCTACAGGTACGACAATAATACATTAATACAGTATTACCTTAATGTATTAGTTTAGCACTAAAAATGAACCAACAAAACAACCTACTAACGTACCTAACCCACGATGGAAAATTACAGTATTATTACAGTGGAGAAGCTAGCCATCTTGTTTTTCAATGACATGTTTGGTATCATATTACAAGTTATCTGTCCTTATGGAGGATGAAGACCATCTCCAAGAGTTCATTTGTCAACATGGACGAGTTGGCAGGACGTGCAAGTGTTCAAAATGTGGCAGAGAACTTACAGTGAAAGAGATGTACAGTATGTGTTTCAGTGCAACAATCGATAGCACTCTTACGTCCACAAAAAAATGTAAAATTACACAATGACGCTTCAAGAAAAGTGTTTTCATTGGTACCTGATATCAATGTAAGTTCTTTCTGCTTAATATGCCAGGGGTTACGTGGAGTTTTGCTTCCATGTTAGGAAGTTAGGCAAGGTTAGGTCAGGTTCTGTGGTAAAGGTGAAGCAAACGGCTAACACCAGGAGTTGTTTGATTTCATTCATTTGTATCACATGTTCTTTGGTTGACAGTAAGTAATAAAAATTTATATGACAATGCACAGACCCTAACAGAACCTGACCTAACCAAACTAACCAAAGAAACCTAACCTAACCTTGCCAAACTTTCTAGCCCGGCATATTAAGCAGAAAGAACTTAACTTTGATATCTGCATCAATGGCAGCAACTTTCTGGAAACAGCATGATATAATTTTACGATTTTTGTGTTAGTGAGAGTAAGCTCGGACCGAGTGGTTCAATTGTTGCACTGAAACAAAGTGTTAAAAAAAAATGCCATTAACGAAGAGTTTTTTACAATTGTCCAAATTATTGATTGCAACTATAATATTCCCGAGATTCATTTTGTGGCAACAAGTGAAATAATACATCATGCAAATAACATCTCCAGATATTTTAGTGCAATTCCATTAAGTCCCCCGGGTGCTAACTGTCTCCTCCACCATTACTTGATAATGTCTACCTGAAGCCCAAGTTTAGGTCAGGTAATTTCTTGAATTTTATGAAAGATAAATTACTACATTAAAACAATAAAATCTCACCTAAATCTGTGTCCCTTAACCAATGTCTGACAGTCGATGGAAGTTCATCAGATATAAACGTGAGGATTTACTTCAGTTACTTTCGTTATCATTAAGTACACAATCACGATCTTCCTCTTTTATTGTGTAGTTTACATGTGTGTGTCTTCTTTCTCCTGTACTATATAAGGAACATCAAAAGGTCCTATGAGAGGTAAGTCAGGTGTGTCAGGTGTTTGTTTACTCCTCTTCATGTGCTGGTGGCGGCAGATATAAAGATAGGAAAAAAAAATAATAAAATGCTAAGGTTTCATTTCTTCCCAAAGGACATAAGTAAGTGATTGATTCATAAGCTGTTAAGGTTAAATTGTAGTTTAATTTATCATTTGATCACTTTGCTTAAGAGCCACTCGGTGTCTTGTTTGTTACTTGTTGTGAACTAGCACTAACACCCATTGAGTCACGTGACCTCCTTTCCCTCATTTTTTTAGTTTTCTATTGTAATTATATTTATTCAAATGTACAATTAGACATGTCGTAAACCAATAGAAAGATATAATACAGCTGTAGTCACTGCACATGTAAACAAGCAAAAACTAAAACTTTATTGATTTCACTTCACCTCCAGTCCAGAGTACAGTAGTCCACTCCCACGAATTGGAATGGCAGTGCCTCTTGCACTCTTTCAAGAGGTAGTGTAGTGGATTCCTCCCCTACAAACGCTGTTTGTCGCTGAGTAGCCGACCCCGCGAATTCCCCAGTGTATGCCTCGTGGTCTAGGTCAACCAGTTCCGCCTTACATGACGGAGGTCAACTATTAAGCCACGCCTACCTCCGCTATATAAGACCTGACCTCGTGGTGACCACTCTCTTCTTCTAGCTACAGCCGCAGCGAGTAACACCTCCTCCTCTGCCGCTGCCTGGCGGCCCTCGCTCCCGCCGGCGACCCACAAGCTGGTCCTCCTCTGAGCATCCTCACCAACCAGCTCTCTCTACTCAACGCTTGTAACCAAGCTGCCTTCCCAGCACCAAGCTGCATTGTACATCCAATACAACATGTATACAGAGAGCACATTGTGAGTTTCCTTTCTCCATCCCATCCTGAGTGTGAACCAAACAACCTGTATCCCACAAATGGTGACTCCCGGAGATTCGCACTCACACAGGATGGAGGAGAAACCAATCACTCTCCCAGTCTTCAAGCAACATGGAAGACTGGCTTATCCACACAGAGGCAGCTCTCATCAGCTCTACAGCTACTGTCTCTACACCGCAGGCTAGACACCCTAGAGCAGCACTGCTTCTCTAAGCAGACACCAGCTCCTCTTCCTGCCCCAAGCACCACGTCTTACCGACCCCAGCACACCCGTCCTGCCTCAGACGCCGCCCCGGCCCAGCAGTACCCCCTGCCGCGGCCCCTGCTCCTGACGCGGACCCACACACCCCTCTTTTCTCCCTCAGGTACTCCCTGCTAATGTCCTGCACCCTGCTGCTGTCGTGGACCCAGCTGCTGTCACGGACTCTCCTCCGCTCCTGCTGACGCAGCCCCTGCTCCTGACCCAGGCCCACACACCCCAGCAGGCGCATCTGACGACTCTGTACCTGCCGTGAGGGAAGCTCAACATTCATCGCCTCCACACACCCTTTTTCTCCCTCTCTACTCCCACAGATATTGTGTATATAGACAGTTGTCTCCTCTAGCGGCCGGCTCATCCACGCCCTCGCCGTTATGGCTCACATTGTGGCATGCACCGCCCGTTCTGCCTCACATGTCATGCAACCCTGCAGACAACAAGTCTCCTACACCACCTGGAGGGAAGGGGGGAGTACTGTAGTGGGTACCTCCCCTACAAACGCTGTTTGTCGCCGAGTAGCCGACCCCGCGAATTTCCCAATGTATGCCTCGTGGTCTAGGTCAACCAGCGCCGCCTTACATGACGGAGGTCAACTATTAAGCCACGCCTACCTCCGCTATATAAGACCTGACCTCGTGGTGACCACTCTCTTCTTCTAGCTACAGCCGCAGCAAGCAACACCACCTCCTCTACCGCTGCCTGGTGGCCCTCGCTCCCGCCGGCGACCCACAAGCTGTCCTCCTCTGAGCATCCTCACCAACCAGCTCTCTCTACTCAACGCTTGTAACCATGCTGCCTTCCCAGCACCAAGCTGCATTGTACATCCAATACAATATGTATACAGAGAGCACATTGCGAGTCTCCTTTCTCCATCCCATCCTGAGTCCGAACAAACAACCCGTACCCCACAGTAGTGGTGGAGTCGGTGCCATAAAAAAATCATTAATGAGAAACGATATATAGTATGTATGTTGTGTTGTCAAACGTAAGAGAAACAATTGAGACCCGGCAAGTGTGTGTAAATGAAGCAGAATGTCAGATCACAAACTTGGGCCTACTCCTTTTTAATCATTTACATACTCTGCATTGTTTTTAATAACTTGTCTTGCTTGAGGTACCGAAAATTCTTCCCTAAATTTGTGTAGGGTCTGAGTCACCCCTGCGTGTTATGAGAGGCTTTGTGGCATTTGTCTATTATCAACTTAGTTAAATGATGCCATTTAGGGAGCAAGATCAGATGTTGTGTGTTAGATGCTACTTCTGATTTATCTATTCTTCCAAACGTTTGAATAATTCCATCCCTCATAAATAATCTTGTTTTTTATTAAACTGGTTTGTTCTGTACAAGTTGTGTGTGGCACATTAGACACATTACCTTTTGTTAATGTTTTGTACTCCACAGAAAATACAACTCTTTGTACACTATAACCCAGAGGGTGGGGGCGCCGGTGGATAGAACAGTACCGCTCTTGTCTCGCAAGCGAGATGTCGCGGGTTCGATTCCCGGGCCAGTGGAAAGTTGTTTGGACACTCTTCCTAGTCCCCTTGGTCCCTGTTCACCTAGCAGCAAAGTAGGTACCTGCTGTAAATCGAAAGTTGTGAATTCGTATTCAAGGAAAGTTGTTGGAGCCTCCAATAACTTGCTTAGACATAAACCATTGACTCTTCAGGCTTCTACGCCCTTAGCTCATGAGACATAAAGGCAAGCATGAACTTAGCATGCTTCCCTGTTGGGCGCTGTAAACGCTTCTGCACTTCACCTTACACAAGGATGTAGGGGAGTGCCCAATAAAAAAATAAATAAATAAAATAAAAAATAAATAAATCTAGAGTTAAGGTTAATGGCAAAGGCAGTAGGTCTCATTTTAAGTACAGTAATTAGTGTTAATTAATAACCTCTGAAGTAAATAAGGATATTTAAAAAGTCAATTACGCTGTGCCCGTAAGTTTTAAATCACCATAATATACATTTTCTTAAAAATATAGACTGTATTTACTATACAAACACATTAATTTTCACTTTCCCCCAAAAATGTCATTTAACATAAAGAATACGCTTGACCTAATTTCTTGGATTTCAGCACATGGGTCATGCCATGGATTTTGTTCATATTTCATCAAAGGTACTACTTAACATGCTGATTAAGGATCTCGGTTCACAAAAAAATTAAATTTTTAAATTGTACGGAATCGTCATACATACCGGTGACAAGTGGAGTACCACAGGGCAGTGTATTGGGCCCGCTCTTATTTGTTTGTTTCATAAATAACATGCCTGATGCTGTACATTCCTCCATACAAATGTTTACGAATGGTGCCAAGTTATTTCGGGAAATGAAGAACCAAGAAGACTGTGAAGAGCTTGCAGAAGGATCTCTGTGAGCTTCAAGAATGGGAAAAAAAATGGCTGTCAAGATTCAATGTCACGAAGTGTAAGAGGATGCGCCTGGGACGTACCAATGGTAAGGAGGCGTTTCATATGTCCTAACGGGACGAAGAAACTGCATTAATTGAGATTAAATGCGAAAAGGACCTAGGTGTGTATGTTGACAATGAACTGAAGTTCTTGGGCCATTGTGAGAAGAAGGTAAATCAAACAACTAAACTATTAGGTCTCATAAGAAGGTCGTTCAGATTTATAATTTTTTTTTTACGGGGAATAGCCCACCCGGGCACAGGTCATCGACCCACAGAAGTAAGTAAAAAGAAATTACAAATAGAAAAGAAAAAGATTACATTAATCTACACCACGAAGATGCCAGAAAACCAGCCTGGAGTACTATGACCCTGTCTAGTCCCCAAGATATGCTAGAGTTACCCCAAGAGATTAGAGCAACTGCAACTGCCTAGCTTATACTATAGACAGGCAAGGGATGAAATAATTAAGGTGTACAGTATAAACATATCAAAGGGCACTACAGTACTCAGTCGAGTGTCCATACCTGGAGTTGGCAGATGCCCGCCACACACGGGGTCACAGCTCAAGGTTGAAGAAGCCCGAAGTCCAGAAAATTGAGGGCAAACTTTTATCGGAGTGAGCATTGTGAACTCTTGGAACAATCTACCAGAGAGTGTTGTGACGGCACCAAGTGTGAGCTCTTTCAAGACCAGACTTGACCAACACTGGAGCGGGTTCAGGTACATTCAGGAGCCGGTGCATGCCCAGTATTTGCCAACAGTGTGAACAAAGACGTGACCAACCACTCAAGCAGCTAACGAGCCGATCAGTGGCGAAGAGGGTAAGA